CACAAAGACACACACACAGGGTCAGTTATGTGGACAACAAAAGGAGACAGGAAAAGAGAAACAAGGAGGTTGTGTAAGAGCCAATAAAAAGGTCATGCTGGATTGAAATGTGTCCCCTCCACATCTATTTGTGAAACACTGCATTGCAGGGGCAGCTGGCTGCTTGTGGCAGGCCCAGATAAGAGCCTGTGGAGCCTTATGTTTGTCAGTGATAGAGGCTGGGTATACAACCATCTAGAAGCAGGGGGACATGACACATCTTCCTGCTATCGGCTCCTCAAACACCGTCAGGGTTATTGCCTCTGCCACGCAGCCGCAGCTAACGCACATTTCACAAAGCCAACATGCCCTTCCTTTCTTCCTGCTACTGTACCATTACTTGGGAAATGGTTTCAAAGTCCAAAAGTTCAATAGTGACAGAAAGTGCTGCGTCAAATGCCTACAAATGCCTTTTAGTAGGCGCTGCATAAGCTATCAAATGCCAGTTACTATTTCGAGGGAAACGGCACACCGATGTGCCTGGACGTAATGTTGCAGCATCTGCTCGCCACCACACGCACAGAAGAAGGAAAATCCTGGTCACACATACGTCGAGGCTTTGTCAGACTAAATAAAAAGGGAGCCCCAACGTATCCATGACCCCTTGTTTTATGATCACATACAGAATACAGCTGGGTAGAGATTTGTGTGAATAATGTTTCAGATTTAGTTCAGAGTTAAAAACAGTTTCTCCATCCCTGACAGCTCTTATCACTTCTCATCTCATTCTGCAGCACTCGTGGCCAAGGCCAATGTTTTGTATTGACAGGCATTTGAAAACAGTGAGATTAGTATGTCAAAGCACTAAACTTGTTATAAAATCACCTGCCAATTCAAACATTATTTTTACTGAATTTATCACTTCAAATTACCTATCCACACAATTTTCTTAATGCACAAGCCAATAATAATAAGTGATAACACTGTGCATATATCATGACTTGCTCTTTCTACACTGACTTCAGTTTTTTAATATGGAAAACACAATTAGACAGATGACATCATCTTCATTCATTTAAACATCTACTCCCATCCTGACAGAACGCTCATATTACATTTAATCCAGCAGATTCACTCGTCTTGTTTGACGACTGCAACAATTACGATCGACCAGAAACTCACGCGAGGACCAAACTAATGGATTCAGCCTCAGCAGCCGTTTTACTATAAAAGGGTGTAAAAGCTTACAAGTGTTGCTTAATTATTACAGAAATCTATGAAGCATTTCTATAAATAATTGAACAGATCGAAAGTTCAAGGCAGTGTTTTTTTTAAATGTCCCAGTTTTACGGGCATTATTGAAACCTTTCAATGCACCAAAAACACAAATACAGTCACAGATTTACTTGGTGTCCAGTGTTTGTCCACACAAAGATGATCTGAAATGAATGGAAGACAACAGGTTCCAGTTGTGTGTGTTGTATTTCGGTGGTGCGGTAACCCTTTTGTTTACATTCGATCACAGAATGAGCTTTTATAGTTCAGAAACACTCAAGTCTAACGCAGGAATGTTTTCACGAACACGAGCAGTGATCTTCAGCTTGACCTCGGCAGGTAAGAACTGTCTGTTCCCACCCAACTTCAGATATCGCTCATCACAACAGCAGATCACACAAAAAGAGTTGCTGATATACGTTTCTCCGTCTGCTGTCAGACTGCACAACTAAAAAAAAAAAAAAAAAGCATTTTGATCAAGCATCCCAAAATTAGTCTTAGTTGGTTAGAGATGATTAAACTGCATGAATTCAGGCCAGTGTTGTTTAAAGAGGTCTGTAAAAATGGGTTGACTGTATTCTGCATATGGGCGGCCGCACTGACTAAAGCTACAAGACAAAAACTGCACGTCAACCCAAGCTACCATCAGCCACAACAAACTGAGCCATCTGCTGATATGAGCCGAGCACAGACACCAGTGTGCGAAAGATACACAGCTGCAATCAAGTACTTCCAGAACAACGTTGTAAATATTTGCAGGAGACTTTATAGCTGGTTTGATACGGAAATTGTTAAGACTTTTGTATTTTAAATGACATTCTGTCACTGAGAAGAAAAAGAAAAAGACTGTGGATCTTCATTTCTTTGTAGAGCAGCACGAACAAAGAGCTGCATCACCAACCGGAAACGTTGACAGCAGGACGGGGAGCTCTGGCCAACCCGACCCAGGAAGCCAAGCACCGGCAGGAACATAATGTGCTGAATGAGAATTTAAATGGTTGCCCAGAGATGTTAGCTGCTGCCTATCACAAACAATAAAAAGGGGGCAAGCCTTTCAGACCAGAGCTTGAGGCTGCAGCGTCCGGATTCCACGTCTAGTGAGACCGCCAAAGTGACGAGCTACAGCTGCGAGCGCGGTCCAGGCGCCTCGTCCTGCCGACTGCGTGCCTTCACATCCCTGATGAAAAGTACTGAGGGAAGGATTGTACGCGTTCACAGCGCTTGAATAATTCCCCACCTGTCGCGATGGATCTCCCGTCCACGTGACCCTGAAGCTGTCCAACCTGGGGTGCCGAGTAAAACTGGTTTTGTCAGAAGACATGTTTGAAGTTCTTATGGTCAGCTGTAAAACTTACCACTGCTATTAATTAAACTCGAACGTGTGTCCGTGTACAGAGCTTTGATAGTTGGGACGCAAACGCTGAAAATGTTCATTTAAAGTTTAAAAACCTCACAAAAAGGGTTGGTCATTAATGCCAGCTGGTGTTTCTCTTCTTCAGCCATGTTTATCGATCTTGCACGCTCTTTCTTCTCGGTATTTGTTCAACAAGTTTTTTTTTTATTAGCAGGTTTGTGGTGTCTTTTTCCTGATTCAGTGTGTAATGTGTCCACTTTCTGCCAGGTGTGATAGCTGCTCATACAACCTGTCCTACAGATCTCTGCACCTCCACTCAGTCTTTGTTCTCCTCAGTGATTTCCCCTCCTTTTTTACACGTCAGTGTGGCCACACAAACTTTCTCCATGCACACTCATTCAGACATCTTCAGTTAGTTAAGACATTTAGGTAATTTCCCCCTGGGATTATTAAAGTATTTCTGATTCTCTGAAGTTACTTCAGAGTTACTTACCTTTTGGTTATTAAGATGCACACGTGTGGGTTTAAAATAGTAAATCTCCAGGGGGATGAAAGCAAACTTGTTAAGAAAACGGTATAAGCAGACAGTTGACTCATTCAGTGCCATAATGATTGTTAACGATGAATGTGACATTGCTTTCTCCTCATCTAAGGGTCAATGACTACAGGCCTAATGTTTAGGGGGAAGTGGCAGCTGACACTATGACCTTCAGTTAATTAAACAAAGTGAACGTTAAAGAACAACAGGTGAAAGTGATATGCAGGTATTAAGATGAATGCAGTATTGATCTAATGACACAGTAGCAGAGGACGTCCTTTATCAATAACACTGCAAAAAAAACACACCAATTAGACATTAATGGCTTTAAAAAGAGTTTGAAGTCAGCAGTCGGTGTGAAACCGCAGCTACAGACTAAAGCTGACGAGCTTCTGAACATATTGACGCAAACCGAGTCAACTTCGGTCAACTGTTGTGATTTTACGTAAAGCTACGTCGCTCTGCCATTAGCACAGTTAGCCCTTAAACTTGAACTCACCTGTCCAGATTCTGCTGCATGACAACCGCACTCTGTTCCGCCATTATCGTGAGAGAGGAGGGGGGGGGAGAAAAACACTAAAATGCAAGTCTTGTTGTGTCGGTGGAGCAGATTAAACGCGTTGCAGATAAAACATAAAAAATAAAAATAAAAACGATGGCACGCCTGTGAATGTGCTGCAGCTTGAACCAGCAGCTACACGGGCCTTTGTGTTGACACGGAGCGTGAGCTGCAAAACGAGCCAGTTGTGTTGGTGTAAAACTATTCTACCGCGGTCATGGCAGATTACAAAGCACTCATCAGCGACCGACGCTCTCCTCTAACTAAAAACCCGCTTTACATCGGCTACGGCCTCGTTTTGTCACCAGTTTTATCGCGTTGGCGTGACCGCTTGACTCCATTGACTGGCCGTCTCTGAGGCAACGTAAAATAGCACGGCGGTGCGTGATTGCGTCATTAAAACGGAGGACGTCGCCGTCAAACGCCGTTCCCCCCTGTCATGGGAAATGTAGTTTCATAGCGCTTCCCTCCCTCTTATAGCCCAAAATATCAAATTAAAGTCCTGAATCCACTCCTGACAGGGGTGCCAAAGAGAGACCACGGCTTCTTGGGAGATACAACCGACATGAAGATGCACATATGGCTCCAGAACAGCGGTAGGATGTTTGAATTGGACTACAACGTGTTTGACTAAGTGTTGCTCCACCTGTCTTCACGAGTTTGTGAGGTTTATTTGTTTGTTTAATCATTTTACATAAAGTTGCTACATTGATGTGAGCAATTATAGGACAAACTTAATATGTGTTGCTCTCTGTGTATACAGCATGCGCGTGCGTGTG